AATACACTGTAAAAAAGGATTATAGGGACCCAGTATCCTTCACCCTTCATCTGTGGATTAATTGACTTTCTTGGCTGTGCCTGCTACTCTTTTATTAGCCAGTTCAGTGTTCCAGATCAGCTCCCTGTTTACTGGAGTTTCACAAGTCTCTTGTGTTTATCTCACATTATTCATCTTTAATGCAAAAAAACCTTCATAGTAGTCTTTAATTTGTCTGATTTATCCCTAACTATCTGAAGAATAATATTAATAACACTCCTTCATCTTGTAATTCAAGAAACACTTCGACGTCAAATCACCAGCCCTGAATCTCGATCACAAGTCAATACCTTGTTCAACAACACACTAGCAAGGTACAGTAGTTGCTCCCTTACACTAAAGTTTAACCAGTCTGTTTTACACATGTATTTATGTCATGTCTGTGAAATTCGCCGTAACAGTTAATATGACTGATTACAGCATCAGTATGTGGTGCTAATTATGGTCCATTGCCAGCATTTTTTTAAAATCCAGCAACCTTAGATTAGCTGATACCTGTCTACGCATCTAATAATGTAACTCATAAATTGTATGTTATATAAACTGCTTTAGCAGGTCTACAACTGCTTCAAAATTGCAAGCTGCTTTGCAACCCACCTCCAAGTAGGGCTGGACAGCTGAGCTTTAATCTCAATCACAATTTTGGTTCATTAAAATAAATAAAAATGACTGAGCAATACTAAAACTGCATGCTCTGCCAACAAAACGCAAAGCAAAGGCAAATCAAGCGCTCCCTAAATCGGCGCCTGATACTGTGCCTGCATGTGCCAATCACAGCTGTTCCCTGGACCGCACAGTGTGGAGCTCCCTGAGCGCGCTTGACCTCCGTGATATGCAACAGATAACACAGCACTGACACAAAATTCAAATTTGTGGCACAGCAGAAGGTGAAGAGCTTGTCCCTTGAAGCAGATCGTCATCTGTTGTTTGGAAATAATTCAGATTTAGGGCAAGAGACGTTAACCAAGAAGAAATCATAAGGGCGCCACGTGGCTGCACTGCAAAGAAACACAAGTCAGTCAGCCATCTAAAAACACGCCACAATCTGCAGCACGACCAGTGCACGAGGCCAAAGAGAAACGGCGCAGCATCCGACACAAACTCGCACGTCCAGGAAAAGGAGGCTGCACAGCATGTCGGCGTGTCAACACCACCCACAAAGATGAAGTCTGAACTGAAGTCAGTAAAGCAATCGCATCCCAGTTTGCAAGATATGGCACAATACGTGACCAATAATCAGCAAGTAACGACGACTTCAGCAAAATGGTCAAGACACTGGACAAAAAAGATGTTTTCGCCTTTTTCTGCAAACCTGCGCTGATGGCAAAGATCACAGGAGAAGTGGAAAGGCATACACAAGTTTCAAGTTTATTTTATTTACATTCATCCTGCAGGCACCACGAATGTATTTTGCTTCTAGGAGAAGCACAAACACACATTCGTCTGCAAAGATAAACTCACAGGACTGCAGCACAGTGTTAAAGTGAAGCAGCTCTGTTGATTTAATTTTGCATTAAGCTTTGGTACAATTTATTTTTCATATTTTTCTTCAATGAGATGCTCTGAATTTAGATAAATAAAGAGGAGCAAATTTATTCTGCTGCAAAGGAATGGTGCAGCAAATGTGCAAACAGTTTACATGACAGTGAAGTAAAAGCATTTTTGCACTATATTTAGTGATTGATATTGATCAAAATAACTGTGATAATCATTTCCCTCCATCCCACGTGACTCAATAAAAGTCCAAATACAACTCAACTTCCAGACATTTGCTGTCCACCTCGCTACACTTGCTGTTCTTAGAGATCTGCACTGATTCTGGACTGAACTTTGTCTTCGTCTAACCCACAAAAAAAGATATTTTTAAGACAGATATATTTCACAGGCTACTCAGATCGCAAAGCTATGAATGGATTCCATGCTAAAAGGGACCATTAATATGGTCAGTGAGGAAATGAACCTCTCAGAGATCAGCTAACAGCTTGAGGAACTTTACACGATAATACTACAGATCGTGGCTCGGAAGAGACCAGAGGACTGGCCTGTTTAAGGCTTCTGACCTGAAAAAGACACGCTGTTAGATCATTCCTGCTGTCCAGTCATTCATAATCTCTGAACTCAGTTGAAAATGTTGTTTTTCATTCAGATTTCCCAAAACCTCCCTTTTGTACGTTTGCTATTTTACATTTAGTGACTCACTTTTCACTGCAATGCCTTTTGAATACCACTAACGAGAGAGTTGGCTTTAAGCCACTGAGAGCTTTTAGTGAAAATATACGGTTCCATGTGCAAATAAGTTGTTTGGAAGCAAGATCAAGCACATGTTTTAAAAAAGTCCTTGGTTCTCTATATTTCTGCTCTAAGCCATCCATCCATTCCACTGATCCAAATCAGGGTTGTGGGGGTGCTTGAGCCTACCCCAGATGCCACAGGGCGAGAGGTGAAGGACACCCTGGACAAACAGACTGTTACAAAACTAACACAGAAACAGCCACAGAGGCGGGAAGGTTAGCGCTGTTGCCCCACAGCAAGAAGGGCCTAGGTTTGAATCCAACCTGGGGGCTTTCTGTGTGAGCCAGAATAGTTGACTGTTGCTCAGCTTAAACACTGCTAAAAATGTGTATTTCTATGATATATTCTAGTTTGCTGTTAAATGTCAGGTCTTCCAGTTTCATTTCTGTCATGTCACAAGAATGAGATGAAGCTTTGCTCAGAGCTTCGAGTGCAAGAAGCAGGAGGAGGAGTTCAAATTAACAAAGAGAATGTGACTCCCTGGAGGGAAAAACACCCACAAGTCTGTCTACACTTGGCCTACATACTTCCCGTTAGAGACTTCCCCACACCAGACGCTTCTCCTGCTGCAGAATCTTACTATCAGTTCCTCAAGGGGGTCCAGAAACAGTGCAGCAGCAGTAGTCCAGTAACTGGGACTTCTACAGGACATGTGCAGAGACCCACCTCAACCAAAGGCGCTGTACTGATGCAGTAAAAACCTCTTATCACCTTGCTGCACACACCCCTCGCTCACGTGCTTCAGAAGAAGTTAAAACGCAGGCGCACACAGCTCACGCCTCCTCTGAAAGCACAGAGGTCTTCTTTTCAGAGGGTTAATGGGAAGAGATTGCAGGCTAAGTGAAAGGGGGAGTAACCTTATAAAGAAGGGTCAGAAGGACACACGAGCACATGCAACCTGCTTTTGTACTGTACACGCAAACGAGAGAGACAGGAGTAAAGCCACGAAGCCAGAGAAGAGCAAGAACGTATATAAAAAGGACGGAACATGAAGCGATGGGGTTTGTTGACTGAGTGAAGCAAAGTACAAATTTATTGATCTGGCCAGCTCTAACGTGTACTCGCTGCCTAAACACAAAGCCTAGCAAGAAAATATCTGCTGTTAAAGAACCTGTGCATGAAATCAATGCTGCAGCACGTTTATAGAAAAGCCATAATGTCAGTGAACTCTTTTTACGCCCGTTACTGTTCAAGAACAAAACCAAGCATCCACAAACCAAAGGCATCCAATCAGCAAAAGCTCAGAGCTGACAGCTGGATTCAGAAAATTCTATCATCCATGAATCCATGCATTTACTTCACTTTACTATCTTTGTTTTACTTTACAGTCCACTGCATATTCATTTAGCTATTCCAATCACAGGTTTTCCACAGTATGATGTTGGGATGCACCAATTCCAGGCTGGGCTAAGAAACAAATCTTCATTATAAAAGATAAACAGAAACAATCGTTAGCCACCGCAAACATTAATGCACACGTAAAGCAGGCCATGCCTAGTGGCTTGACCAGGAGGCTTCACCCAGGCAGGTAGAATATACAGGATATGCAGGGTGGTGCTTTTGCATCCCCGGGGCTTGAATCTAAAAGGCCACAACACGCCTGCACAGATCAAATTGGCCTCTGTGTAGTAACTGCAGCTCTGGGATTACAGCTATGGCAACGACAGACCTGCAAATAGCGCAGCTCTGCCTGCCTTCATGGTGGATGCTGCACCAGCCTGAATGTCAACATCTTTGGCGTTTCACAGATTTTACAACCCGAGGTCTATTCACCGAGGCAGTCTTACTGACAGTGACCGTCAAGGGGAGAGGCCTCATGATGGAGAGACTCTTCTCTCATCCCCCCCCGCCCCACCCCACTATCAGCCAATCAAAAAGCAAGCACATGTTGGATGGGTTTGCTTAGTGTGGGTGAAAGTGGTCAATGCAAATGAAGTGACTCCATGCAAGCAATTCATCTTCAAGAAAACAAAAGACAAATTATAAAAAAGCTCAAAAGGAAGCATACGGTCTGATGAGAGCTCGTCTGAAACAAAAAAACAGACACTTCACTGTCACCTGACTGAGAAACAGTCACATCTCAAAACCACCTAAAGGACAGAAATGCAACGATGATTCAATGCACGGACTACTTCTGCTCCTCCACTGCAAAAATTCACTGCTGCTTTAAAAGGACCTTAAACTGATTCTGTTATTATTTGGCTGTGAAATACTGCGATGGTCATTTTTTCACTTGTTTCCGACATTTGACAGGAGGGGGGAAATATGCATGACACATGTTAATCTATTAACTGCTAATGAAAAGGACTGTTTGTCCCAGCACAGAGGAGAAGAAGAATAACAACAACAGCAAAAACAACAACAACAACAACAACAGGCCTTTTACATATCCAAAAGAAGACAGGCAGCGGATCTGTTAAATAAACCAAATCCACCACCGTCACCTCCGCCTGTCAGACCTGACAAGGACTGAGAGGAGAGCATGTTTAAGTGGAAACCAGTCAGTGGATAAGTGTGTGTGTTGTGTTTTAGTCATGTAGGTGAGCAAAGAAGGCAAACACAGAGAGTTGACTGTGACCTTTTACTGTCACAGCTTTCTCAGTGTCACATGTTCCAGCTGTTGTTTCTCACATTGATCTGTGGCTGCTTTGGGGGAATCAGAGCCTCACCTTTGAGCAGGGGCAGCGGGGTGAGCTCCACCTGGGAGCTCTGGTAGCGGAACTGAGAGGAGCTGTGGGACCTCCTCTGTCGGGCCCTGCGCATGGACCTTCGCGGGAAGCCATCCACCTTCTCCGCGGACGGCACCGAGAAGCTGGTGGTCGGCGAGGACGGGCTGGACGGAGGCAGCTTGGTCGTCTCCATGATGGCTGGAGGTGGAGGTGGTGTGGATGCTTTTGCGAGTGAGTGTGTAACGAGGGGGAATGTTTATTAAGAGGATGTAAGGCTGAATAAAGCAGAGGATGAGGGTGGAGGAGGGGGGGGCTATCTGAATCACAGATGGATTATCAACTGATCAGAATTTTAAAAAAAGCGGCTCCAGGGGTGGTGGTGGTGGAGGAGGAGGGAGGAGAGGGGTGAGAGATAGAAAGTATGGAGGGGGGAGAAAGGTGCAGAGGCGGAGGAGAGGTGAGGAGAGGTGAGAGAGAGCTAGATTTTCTAGGGGTCCAGTCACGTGCTGAGCGCCTCGTTGTCTCTATCAGAGCCGGACTGGAAATGGCATCTTCGTCATCGTCATCATCATCCTCGAAGCTTCAGCTTTTCACACACAGATGAAAAGAATCGCTTGTGTATCATCGCCGTGCAGGAGTAGCTTGGAACAGCTACCAGATGATGCTCAGACAGGCGCGTCTCCTCCTCACACACACACAGACACACACACGCCTCTGCTGCTGCTGCTGCTGCTGTATTGGCGTCACACACCGCCTAAGTCATCAGCCTGGATTTGGATGTTTATTTGCTGTATGATATCAAGCAGCTGAGCTCCTGATAGGCTTAAAAAATAAAGACAAAAAGCACCTCCTGTTTATCCGGATCAGACGCAAACAAACGCCCTACGTGCCACTTCACAGCTTCTTCTCCTCGATTTTTTTTTATCAATAAAAATCAGTGCTCGGTCCTGGCGGTGAATGATGATATCATAAAATCATGAATCTGGGCCCACTTCAGCTGCGGCATCACTGTTGTCCTCCTGCCTCGTTTCCCCCCCCCTCTATAATGGGTCCTTCTTTAAACCGTTAAAACCTGATATTTCTTTTTTTCTTTGATTTCTTTGAAGGCTAAAGATGTTATAGTCCACTCAGCCTCCTCCTCCTCCTGCCTTCCTTCAACCGTATCAGGGCGGGGAAACAAGCGGTCCCTCACCGCACCGACATGTGCAGGTCCTCCGATGTAACGGCGAGTCCCGCAGCTCCGCTCGGCGTCTCCCTCCGCGGTCAGAGGACAGGGAAAAAAGGTAAATGAAAGAAAAAAGAGGCCGCTGCTCCGCGCAGGGGCAGCCGGGAGAGGAAAAGCTGAAGGCCTGTGTTATACAATAGCAAAACCGTCTGCGTCTGACACACTGACGCGGTTTTTTTTGTTTTTTTTTCCTCCTGTACCCCCTTCTCCGTTCCCGTTATCCGGTTGTCCTACAGCGACTCAGTGAGCTGCGTCAACACGCACGCGATGAGTCGGGAACATACAGGAAATGAAGCTTCATGACTTTCAAAATAAAATAGGCTACCTGTGCAAGCGTGTGTCTGGATTGCGGAAATCAAGCCCCTTTTCATAGACTGTACATAAAAGATGATAGTAGACAAACTGACGTCACTTTTTGTCAGTGACGTTTCCTACTCTATATCAGCAGCTACTTGAAAATCACAAAAGAATAAAGAGTAACAATAATAATGGCCAATAAGGCCAGTACACCAGCGCCGCAACATCATCACACAGTCACTTTTATTAATGCTCGCCGTTAAGGTGCTTTGAGACTCTGCAGCATCCAGTAGTATTATTTTGCTATTTCCATATAGTTGTGTATGTTGTACCGGTGCACGCTACAAGAGGTACAAGTGCACTTGTTGCCAAATGCAGTGATCTGATTGGTTAAATCTGTGTATCTGGATCTGGAAATCGAGCTTTGTTCAAAAATTAAATGCTGCAAATTCATCCAGCAAAATTACTCGGTCAGTGTGAACGGCTGTATTAATGATAGGTGAATCCCAAAAATCTTTTTGATTAACGATATATTTGCACAAAACTTTTCTAAATGCCTTAACTGTGACCATAATTTATAAAATGAACATCACCCTTTAATAAATAAGACTGGAAACTAGTGGCCTTGACCTCTAGTCCCTGGTCCCAGGTAATTCTAAACAACTGTACTTCTGCTTTACAACCAGAGGAGTAATTGTGAGAGCAATTGTGGCTTAACTTTTCAGACCTAAAAGCTGTTTTAGCCTGTGAGGGTTACTGGTGGAGCCTAAGGGCTTCTGTGTAGTCACAAAAAAGGAAACTTCAGAGATCTAAATAGATTTTAATACGGCAACCCCTTAAGACAGCTCCTCAGGATCATCATGGATGTCAATAAGCCTGGTTACTTTGGTAACTGCAGTGCTATTGGACTGAAGCATTAAGGTGCAGGTAGAGATGAAAGCAAGGTTGAAAGTCTCTTTTTGATTTCTCTAGTTCAGTCTAGACAACAACAGCAAGATGTACCAAATAAAAACTGAGCTCAGGAATTCTTTCTTTATAAGTATAATGGATGCGCAGAAAGAACTTCTTACTCGTTCTGTTCTACACAGATACTTTCATGGTTAACAGAGAAAATCCAACATGTTTAACTTCTTTTCGTGTACAGGCACTAAGCACTAAGGCGGTCAGCTATGATGAATCTTCTCTGGCATTTTTCACTGCAGAGTAGGCTACAGGCTCAGCCAGCAAAAAAATAAAAATAAAAAAATAAAGATTTTATTTTGAAAGCGCTGAGCAGATGCTGCCTCGTCTCACTCTCCGCGTCTTGACGCAGGTTCCTCAGCCTTGAGGTGGTGCAAGGAGAGAGAGGAGTGAGCCTCCTCCACTGCGGATGACGCTATATGATGGAGTTATTTATTTATTTGCCTTTATTTACGCGTGGCCGGCCCTGGCTTTTTAAAGCCGCTCGATTATAAGCAGGTGTTTCATCGGCGTTCCTGCTCTTGCCGCACCACCTTTGGCTTTCTCACTGCCGTTTCATCCAGTAAAGAAATATCCCCTCCTATCCTCCATCAGTGCACCGCTTTGACGCTCACCGCCTCCCCCCCATTTCTCCCCCTCCCCTTTCCCCCATTTTGCTCTCCTCCTATTTGAGGTGAAGCTGGCTTTGAGGATCAAGTCCCATCCATTGTTCTTCAGCCAGCCCGATCAGCCACTTGCTCGCGCTCACTCTCTCGTGTAAGCACACACGCACGTGCATTTAAAGGCGCATTTATCCGCGCCTTTCATCTGTTTCTCAAAGTCACACACACACTGATTTTCTCCCCATAAACACACACAAGCCTATTTTATCTCATAGAGACTACAGTGCAGTAAGTGCTGTAACTGCGCATGCGTCCTTTGCTTTACATTACACCCTTGTCCCCTATGTGGTGTATCAGGTGAGTTCACCCAGTCATCTTCCGGGATAAAGACACACACACAGAGTTTACAGTGTGGGTCAGGGCAGCATTGATGCTCTGCTTTACATTTGCTATCAGGGAGGCTGTGGTGCTGCTAGAGACGCGCTGGTTAACCGACATTCAACAGCATTTTGGAGCTTTTTATTAGAGCAGTCTACAGTTGTTAGCTGTGCACAGTGGGCATTGTGGAGTCTGTTGGGGCCCCTCCAACCAGCATTCATCACCATTATGTTATGAGTAGTCTGACAGCACCAACAGCAGTCCTCTAAAACAACAAGGAAAACATTACTACAGCAGACACCATGTTTATTTTAGCAACAGTGACCAAGACCAGGTTGTCTGGTTATGCAGTGTTAATACTATAGAGTGCTGTGCAAAAGTAACTCCTCATTCTGTTATGCTTTGACAGAAACAAGAGGAATAGATGCACTGGTTTACTGAAAGGTTTGCAAACATATGAGGATATAAATACCAAAAATAGAGTTTGTACAGTTATTGAAAGTCACAGCCTGAACTCTCTTAGGCAGCTTTATTATTTTACATTATTTTAAGTAATCTTCAGGAAAAGTTCTCCAGGCTTCTTGAAGGACATTCAAAGCTTTTCTTTGGATGTTGACTGCCTTTTGTTTAATCGCAGTGTGTGGTCGCAGCAGGCGACCACCCACTGAGACTATTTCTGTCGAGGCTTCTATGAACAAGTGGATCCGTTGAAGGTCCAGATGCCACTGCTGTAGTTTAAGGTTTCTCAGCCCTCAGGGCACTACTAGGCACCTGGTGCCCCGAGCAGTCATCTGCCTTGCCTGGTGTCAAGAAGCACATCCAGCTATATATTACAGAATTTGCATAATTCTGCTAATAGACCCCAAACAAATATTCATATGTTGTGTAACAGCATATGAATGAGTGAGCTGAACTGCTTGAAAATTGTACTGTATTATAAAATAAAAAAATTAAAAACTCAATCAGGACAGCATTTTTTTAAAAGCATAAAACCGATTTTAATATAATTTTTATTATTAGTTTCCTTGTTCAATATATTATTTGATCCATGATAAATACAAATACTACAAAGCCCCACAACTGCCATATGCACAAATATACAGGTATACCATATAGGCTGAATAGCAAATATATAAAATAAAAAAAATAATTAAATGAAAGGATCACTTGGAAAAAACACTTTTTTCAGCAGCAGTTTCTTTAAAAGACATTAATCCACCTCCCGGTTCACAGGGTCAAATCACTTGAAATGAGCACAAAAAATGTACTAAAACATAAATTGTGTTAAATTGTCAGTTTGGACCAACAATTTTATATTTTTTTATGGAAAGCAAGAGCTGCATCAAATATAGCATCTGATTTATAGAAAGATTTTTTTAAATTACAAATGAATTAAAATTACAGGGTAATTATTGCTCCCAATCCACCTGAAAAATAATGGGTGAAAACCATTACTCCATGCACAGCATACTTGTGTGCACCCCCCATCACCCACCCCTTGACATCCAGAAATTATTTTTATTTCTACGTCATCTATAATTATCCTTTTGGGCTCTATGAACAAACATAAAATGAATAACTTCAGCAACAACAGCTGCAGGTCCGTCTTCAACCGTTTAAAGTTTTCGTGGGTTTACATCATCCTGACGTCTACATCATCAGTGAGATATGTTCCTTCTGATTCATTTATGAGGAATAAATTGCAAAAATATGCAGGATGCAAATTAATAGTTAATTTTTTTTTTTGTTTAAATGTCGTTAAAAGGTTCAATAAACTCTCCATTTTCACTAAAGTTTGAATTTTTAGGTAATCGTTTCACAGTTCAGGCTTTGAAGGGTTAACCA